ATTCGTTGGAATAGTACTTATAACTTAATTCAAGTACTTATTAGATATAAAGATCATTTTCCTGCTTTTTTAAGGCAAACTTGTAACTATATTATAAACCCGACTGACATCGACACTTGTGAAAAAATTGTTAATGTTTTGGTATATATTTTAATAACGCAACTCAAACTTTTAGTCATGTTTATAAACCTACCGCAAACGAATTTTTTGTTGAAGCTGTTAATCTCGCCGGCGCATTTTTAGAATTTTCGGATGCCGCTTACGTTAGTTATTTTTGTGATTTCATGAAACAAAAATTTTTAAAATATTATTCACATGTTCCGCATATATAAGGTATTGCATTTGTTCTAGTGAACAAAGAAACCAACACCAAAGCACCACCCTGCAGATGAAATGAGAAGCCCAAACAGAACATCCACCGACCACCAATAAGGTGTCCCTAAATATCACGTTTTCGCAAACAGAACCCCAAGAAGAACCAAGAAGCCCAACAAACATCTAGAAATCAACCATACTTCTTCTCAGTAAACTTTTTTTCCTTTTTTTTTGCTTAAGGCGAGTACTCCTTCTAGGAACCAGTATAGAACTAGATGAACTCCACTTGGGATCCGCAATAGAGTAATTGGGATCTGCCATACGGTCTAGCAGTTCACGGTCTGTAAGAAGCCTTCTTATAGGTGTTGTTTCTAATTCCTCTCCCAACCCCCTCGAACTTGAAGGAAAGGATACCTGAAGGGGTGTTACTTCTTGAATATCCTCCATTTGAACATCTATCTTCCAAGATTCCATCTGTAGCCCCCCTTGAGAAATCGTTTCTAAGACCTTTTCGACTTTATCTTCTTTCTCCTCTATTTCCACCAAAACACTATGCATATTCCCTTTTCCTTCTTTAATGTCTTCAAGTTCACTATCCTTGTCGTTAACTACAATATCCCCTGGCGTTGTGACTATACTCTCAGGCACCAAAACAACCTCCCTCAAAGAGTTGCTAGAATTACCCTCAAGATTAAGCAAGTCCTCTCGGAAAAGTAGAGAGGATATAGATGTAAACGAGCTTTCTTTGTATCTAACATTGAATGTTGATTATGAAGTTGGAGATGATTTTGACGTTCTTAAGTGGTGGAAGGACAATGAAAGAACGTTCCCGGTTTTATCAAAACTGGCTAAGCAAGTGCTAGCAATGCCGATATCAACAGTTGCCGTGGAACAAGAATTTAGTGCGGCCGGCAACGTCCTAACCGATTATAGAACGAGGTTGAGCCCGAGCTCTCTTGAGACGCTAGTTTGCTTCCATGATTGGTTGAAGGCCAAACGAAGAACTCAAGAAATGACCATCGCTCCCACCTGCCACTTTATGGAGGAAACAACCACCGAAGGCGGAGATTCCGATTGATTTTTTATTTCAAAATGTATTACATATTTTAAATGCATCCTAATTCTCAATTGTACTTCTTATTTGAAATAAATATACTTGAATTATTTTATATTATTGTGTACATCAATTCAATAATTCAATTCAATAAAATTCATTTGTAAACTTGTACTTCATATGTAGCACTTCTCAAATTAATTAATTGGTTACAATTTTACAAACTTATAACTTACAACTTGAAATTATTTTTGTAAAATCTAAAGGCTGTTTTTAAATTAAAATATGTAATATTAAAATGTAAATTAATTTCTTTGTTACAAACTTACAAGTTACAACTTATACACCTATTTTGTAACATTTGTAAATTATAAATCAAATCACTTTTCTAAGTAAAAATAGTTTTACTTAATTAAAAAATTAAAAACATTTTCCTTACACAATATGTATAATTTTCTAAATCATATCACTTTCCTTACACTTTTCTAAATCAAATCACTTTTCTAAGTAAATTATACACAATATGTATAATTTTCAAAAAAAAAAATTAAAACATTTTGAAGTGGGAGATTGCTCCCAAACGGCTATATAGCCGTTGGGGCTTAGGGTGGGGGGCAGGGGGGGTCGCGGGGGTGGTGGGGTGGGGGGCAGGGGGGTCGCGGGGGTGGTGGGGTGGGGGTGAGGTTCAAAAAAAATCTATAAATACATCTATTTTCTACCATTTTCTACACCTCTTCTCCATTCTCCAACTCTTCTCCATCTTCATCTTCTCTTATTATCCTACATTTCTACTTATACATCTACCATTTTAATTTTTAAAGATGGAAAGTAATTCTTCTGTTATGCAAAACAACTTTGATAAGTGGAAGGACCCGAAGACCGGACTGTGGTGGGCAACTTGCAAGTGGTGCAAGAAAGAGTGTTGCTTGGGGCGTTCACACGGAGTCGGGATGCCAATGAAACATATGAAGTCATGTGACAAAGGTAAAACAACAACCAACGGTGGCGGAAATCCCAATTGATATTTATTCGAAAATGTATTTCATATTGTTATTTTTTCCTCAATTCTCAAATGTACTTCCTATTTCAAATAAATGCACTTGAATTTTGTTTTTAATAACAATTATTATAATAATATAGTATAGAATATAAAAAAAAATTAAAAGGACTGGCCCGAACGGGGCCCGGCCCGTGAACCGGGCGGGTAGCCCGGCCCGAACCGGACCCGGGGTCACCCGGGCCGGTTCCGGGCCTCCAAAACCGTGAACCGAGGCCCGGCCGGTTCAAGGCCCGAACCGGGCCCGGCCCGAACCGAGTCCATGCCCAGATAGATAATGAGATATTTATATTTAGTACATGTGTTTAATAAGTAATAAAAATAATATGTAGTTGATGGAGTATTAATTCTAGAGAGAAGTGAGAGCTAGAGAGAGAAAGTGAGTAATTATATTTCTCAACCCCCTATAACTAGCCCCAAGGGGTCTATTTATAGGAAAAAATGTGGATTTGGGCTCCTAGCCATGGGCTTAGGAGGCCCATTACAATAATCATGCCTTCTTTGGGCGAAATAGGGCCACTAATGGGCTATGTACAACACTTAGTAAATAACGTAGAGAAAAGCATTCTGCCCGTACGAAGCCGAGCCGATGCGGTGCCTTTTGGCCGATGCGGTCCCATGGCCGATGCGGCTCATGGGCCGATGCGGTCCCGGGAGTCCATGCGTGCCTCCTGGGCCGGTTTGGTTTCTGGCCGATGCGGTCCCGGGAGTCCATGCGTGCCTCCTGGGCCGGTTTGGTTTCTGGCCGATGCGGACCCACTGGCCGAAGGGGGCCACGTGGGTGTTCTTCTGGCCATCGTTGACTTGAGTGTGTGGGCCATGGGGTCCAGGCCCATATACTCTATCAGGAGTCCCCCACTCTCTGAGCTGAGGCGAAGCCGAAGCGAAAGGGAGTATTTGTTCCTTCCTGGCTGGCCGTCGTGAGAGCTTGAGGCGCTTGGTGGCCGAAGAGTATCTGCCTTGATTTTGGATGAAGCGGCTTCTTCATTTGATGTAGACGTAGGGCGCTTGAGGATCCACAGCCTTGGTGCGGCCGATGCGCTCTCTGTGAAGTGTCTTGAGGATGATGCGCTTTCTTTTTTGTAGATGTGATGAATTCTGGTGTGGATAAGTTGGCATGCTTTCGCCGTCATCTTGTTGGGGCCGAAGAGCTCGCCATCTATTCTTTTGGCCGTAGCGATGACATATTTTCATGAGATGGAGATGGTTGATTCCATTTACGTAGACGATGCGATGCACGCCTTTGATTTGTCATGTAACCGAAGCGTTTGATTTGTGGGTTCTTTGCTCTGGTGAGCCGATGCGGTCCTTAGTGCTTTTTGTAATTGGCGGGCCGTAGCGCACCCTTTTTGCATTAAGGCCGTTGTGCTCCCTTTTTGTTTCCTTTCTTGTGGCCGATACAGTCCCCCAGTCCCCCACTCCTTTGGCCGAAGAGTATTTGAGGCACAAGGGAGTTATGATGTTCTCGAGCCGATACGGTACCTCATGCGTTAGTCGTGATTCCAACCCTTAGGCGAACCTGTCCAAGGTAACCCTGTGGGAGAACCCTTGGACGAAGGCCGCGATACCAGGGTCATCATCAAACGATGTGCGCGTGAATAGCCGTAGCGGTACTTGTGTTTCTTGGGGTTGCTTTGGGGCCGTAGCGCGTTTCGCTGATGCGTCCACGCCTTTGGTGATATTGGGCCGTAACGGGTTTATCCTTGTTTTTGAGTGAGTAGGCCGGTGCCTACCCTAGCCTCGAGGCCTGTTGGGCCGTAGCGGTGGCCCTAGAGTGGAATGTGAAAGGACAGGCACTGATTGGTCCTAGAAGAGGTGCCGTTGAGGTGGCCAGTTGGAGATCGCCACGTGTAGTGACCGTTGGAGGGGTGCTTATAAATACCCCTAAACTCCGAGGCGGTACCTCATTTGTGCTTTTGCTGTTTGTCGAATTGCTGCCCAATTTTCTAGAGAGAGAAAGCTCCCGAGGTTTCTTCAAGTGTTCATCAACCTCCCTTCGGATCTTCAAATCTTCAAGGTCAGATTCTTGTCTGTTCTTCTTTATTTTCTTATACTTTGCTTCCTAGGGGGTTAGATCTAGTGTTTGTAGGGAAATCACTTTGATCCGAAAAACCGCCCTTAGGAATAGGTGTAGGTGTTATGCCGTTCTCTAACGGCCGTAGCGTTCCCTCCCCCATTGATTTGACAGCTTCTTTGGACGAGTCGGATTGGCCCTTTGACGAGGACGATACGTCCCCTGGAGTTGATCTGCGGTTGATAGAGGCCTTCGAGGTCGAGATGGAAAACACAGCCGACTATCGTACTTCCGTAGATGAGGAGAGAATGAGTGCCGATGCGGGAGCGCATCTTTCTGGTGAGGACGAGGCGATATCTAGCTCGCCTCTGAGAGGGGATGAGGCGTCCTCTTCTGCCAACATTCCTTGCCCTCCGCCGATATCGTCCGTAGCGGGGGAAGGCCCCTCAGCTTCCAAGACGAAAAAACCGTATCGGCGGAAGCAACGCAATAAGGCACCGAAGGGGCATTCGCAACTTGACCTCAGCAATTTGTACATCATCAGGCCGGAAGGGACCCTCGGTGAGTATCACGTAGCTCAGTTGTACGTGGGGCCGTATGGACGGGTGCGGGCGCCGAAGCCGACGGATCACGTGTTGAGCCCCCCCTTGGGTTATTTCGGGATATACCCGATGAGTTTCGCGAAGGGGTTGCGGTTCCCTCTCCATCCTTTTATTAAGGAATACCTTGACATGGTGGGTCTGCCTCCGGCCTTGCTGACGCCCAATAGTTACTCGCTCATCGTCGGCTTCCTTATCCGTTGCGGTGAGCTGGGGTTTTCGCCGACGATTGCGCTTTTCACCAATCTGTACCGGATAGGCCGAGGGAGCCATCAGAATTGTGCCGGCTATGCCGCTTTACAGCAGGTCCCCAAGAGGAGGACGTTTACAGACCTTCCTTCATCAATTCATGGCTGGAAGGCGAAGTTTGTCTTTGTTAACCTTGGCCGAGGCGGTTACTTCCCGTCTGCCGGTCACAGCGGTTTATTTGAGTTGCATAATCCTCCGTGGAATGCCGAGATCAGTAGGCAGGTGGAGGCTTTTATCAAGGGCGGTCCGAGGAGCGTAACGACCTACATCACTGAGTATAGGATGGCCGCCCTCGGCTTCGTAAGATATTACTGCCCCGGCGATGTGGACGACGACCTCTGGCCGAGGATGGAGGGGTCTTATGAGCAAGCCGACGGTCCCTCACTTGGTGTCCCTGCCGAAGCCGAAGGTTGTCCTTCGTCTGCTTTCCCTTCTTGTAATGTGTTTAGTTATTGCCTTACTGATTTTGCTCTTTTGTGCAGGTTTTGTCATGGACCGCATATCTTTTATGGCTCGAGCTGCCAAGAAGGCCGATGCGGAGCTCAAGGCCGCTCGGGCTGCCGAGAAGGCAAAGGCCTCTGCTGGCGGTTCCCAGGGAGGGGGTGAGGCCGTCAAGAAAGCTGCTCCTAAGAAGAAAAGAGGAGCTGATGAAGGTCAGAAAACTCTGGCCGAGGCGGGTCTGAAACCACAGGCCCCAAAGAAGACGAAGAGGGTTCCGACGACTGATGAGGCCGGCGCTCCTTCTCAGGCTGTCGTGGATGTCCAGCCCCCGGTGGTCCCTCCCGTGAATGAGCCACCCTCCTCGGCCGTGGTGGCTTCGGCTTCTCGCGTGCTTCCCTCTACGGCTGCTGCTGCCCGTCTAGAGGAGGCCCTTGCCAAAGGGACGTACGAGGTAACAGTGCGTTACCCTGTGAAGGGCGGTCTTTTTAACGAGACCGTCGGTGGCGACGACGTGCTTGCTCAGGCTATGCCTGAGTATGATCGTCAGTACCTCGGCCGACAAGGCCAACATGTTCGGCTGTACGACGGAGGGATAGACTACGTCGTCCAGGTAAGACATTTTCCTCCATAACTTTTCCTTTGCTTTTGTTTTTTCATTTCTAACTTCGTCTTGCTCCGTCCAGGGTGCCCTTATGCTGAGGGAGCAGCATTGGAGGCAGGAAGCCGAGATAGAGCGGCTGAAGAAGATGGAGGCCAAAGCTGCTTCAGCCGATGAGGCCCTTCAAGATCTGAGGGACAAGGCCAAGGCCGCGGAGGATGAAATGAAGCTCCTTCAGATGCGCCTTGATGAGGCCGAGGCTGCCCGGAAGAAAGCTGATGAGGCCGTTGCCGCTGCCGTCCAAAGAGCCGAGGAAGCGGAGCGGCTCAAGGCTGACGCTGAGAAGGCTGCTGAACAGGCCGTTGCTGTTTTCAAGGCCGACGGATGGAAGGCCGAAGATCACATCCCCTTCTGCTACGAAGTGGTGGCCGAGAGGCTCACTGATTGGGTGACAAAGGACCCTGCCGGCGAGGACTTCTGGATGAACGAGACGCGAGCCTTCTATAACTGCGGGCAGTACAGGATGCAAAGGCTGATTTATAGGAAGCTTCGTCGTCGCTTCCGGAAGATGAGGCCGAGGGGTTTGAGCCTACCCCGGCGGATGAGAAATCCTGATGAGGATATGAAGCTCCCCCCGTCGGAGAGGCAGCCTCCAATTCTCAGTTCGGACGAGGGGGAAGCGTCCTGGAGTGAAAATGACGATTATCTGCTCGAGGGCTCTGCCGATTCCAAGGCCGATGAAGATGATGACGCCGGAACCAGTAGCGGTGGTGGGGAGGACGTCGGCCAGAGCAAAGAGCAAGCCGATGAGGCAGCGTAGTTTTGTAGACTTTTTATTACTTTTGTAGCTCTAGCACCAAAGTGCGTGTAACGGCCGTAGCGCCCACCTGTTGTATTTTTGCATCCATTAATGACAAATCCTTTCCTCCTCATGACCGTCTCTTCGTCTATATAGTTAAGTATGTTTGTACTTGTGAATTTTTCCAAGTGTCAAGGTTGTGTTTTGGGAGTGTTTGGCGTCTCTTAATTGAGACGTTGCAATCCTTTTTCCACTTGTTGCCATTAGGGACGATGCATTTCGTCTCTTTGTGTGCTGTTTTTGTTTTTGAGTCTTTTTGAAGACGAAGCGGTACCTAGATATGGACTGGTAGCGCATCGGCTCCTTTTGAATGTGTCTTTTGAAAAAATTTTCTGTGTCAAACATTAGAAGACGATGCTATTTTGAGACGATGCGTTTCTTCGCCCAAGTGATGGGGTGCGGTTCTGTGTAGTTGAAACATGAAGCGATTCAACCTTAGGATGTTGTGGTTGAGGCCGAAGCGTGCTCTTCGTGTTCCCACATGGTAAAACCTGATATGTACTTAGCCCATTTTCAGGCTTGGTTGTGGGGATTTTATTTTATGCTCGAGGCCGGCGAGTGCGCGGTCCGTCGGCTTCCCTCTTTCTGTTTCTTTTTTTTTTTTTTTTTTTTTTTTTTTTTTTTTTTTTTAAGGTGGTCGAAGGGTTACTGTCCCTTCGTCCCTATGCGGTAGTTTATCCGCTATGCTTTTCGCGTGGATTAGTGCGAGGGAGTAAGTACGCCCTCGGCTTGATATGTCAGTGGCCTCTTTTTTGGCCTTTCCACGTCTATCGTCGACGAGGGACCGGACTAGGCATCGTCTTTAGACGGCCGCCCTTTGTGGTCCTGAGCGAAATTTTACTGACGGGTGGAGTTTTTGTAACCTCGGCCTTAATTCAGGCTTGTCGTCCTGCGGTTTCCGCGCGGACGACGCGGTATGCTTCTCCGTTTTGAAGACGTTGGACCATGCACACAGGTCCTTCGTCCTGCATATCGCCAGCCGATTTGGGTGTTTCACCGCTTGTGCCGATACGATATTTAGGTGCGTTGTTTATTGCAACGGCTTTGTAGGTGCGTTGTGGATCGCAACGGCCTTAGGTGCGTTGTGTATTGCGACGGCTTTAGGTGCGTTGTTTATTGCAACGGCTTTTAGGTGCGTTGTTTATTGCAACGGCTTTTAGGTGCGTCGTTTATTGCGACGGCTTTAGGTGCGTCGTTTATTGCGACGGCTTTAGGTCGCATCGGACCCGGGTTATTGCACCACTTAGGCCGATGCGGTCCTTGGGTTTCCCTTTGCTCAAATCTTAAGAGATTGGACGAAACATGAATTTTATTCAATAAGTGGCGCTAGGCCGAGGGTGTTTTATTCAACCAATAAGCCGAGGGGTGGGGGACGTTGCCCGCTTCACCACTTCTCGAGTCATTGGTAAAATTTCACCAGGTGGTGTACATTCCACAATCGTGGTACATCTGACCCATTAGGGTTCTTTAGTTTATAAGTGCCGGCTTTGACGACGGCGCTGATGATGTAGGGCCCTTCATATTTGACGGCGAGCTTTCCTCCTTCCGTCGGCCTGCTTGCTTCCCTTCGGCGGAGGACGTAGTCCCCCACCTGGAATTCGCGAGAACGGACCTTGGCGTCGTAATAGGATTTGACTTGTCGTCTGTAGTTCTCCGCTCTGAGGTAGGCCATTTCTCGTCTCTCGTCGATGAGGTGTAGGTCCACCTTCATTGTTTCTTCGTTGGCTTCGGGATCGTATTGTGTGACGCGTCGGCTAGGAAGCGTCACCTCAGTGGGAGCCTTGGCTTCAAAGCCATAGCACAAAGAGAATGGCGTCTCCCCAGTGGCCCTCCTCGGAGTAGTTCGGTAAGACCATAGGACGTTGGGGAGCTCGTCGACCCAACTTCCGCCTTCTTCCTCGAGTTTCTTCTTCAGCCCCTCCAAGATGGTTCTGTTGGCGTTCTCAACTTGTCCGTTGGCCTGAGGGTAGGCGACGGAGGAGAAACGGTGTTTGATGCCCCACTCTTGGAGGAGGCTTTGGAATGGTTCGGCCTCAAACTGGGTGCCGTTGTCTGATATGATCTCCTGAGGCACGCCGAAGCGGGTGAGGATGTTCTTGTAGACGAACTTTCGACACCGCGCTCCGGTGATGCTTGCGAGTGGTTCGGCCTCGACCCATTTGGTGAAGTAATCGATGGCGACGATGATGTATCTGTTGTTGCCCGCGGCTCTTGGTAGTGGGCCGACGAGGTCGATGCCCCATCTGGAGAATGGGATGGCAGTGCTGACCGGGGCGTAATTGACGGCCGGCCGACCAGGTGCCCTTTGGTAGTGTTGGCATGCGCTGCATTTGCGGGCGACCTCAGCACAATCACGCGCCATCGTCGGCCAGAAGTAGCCTTGGACGACGAGTCGGCGCGACATGCTGAAGGGCCCTTGATGTGATGAGCATACGCCGCAGTGGACTTCTTCCATGGCCACTTCGGCCTCATTCTGGTGTAGGCACCGGAGGAGGGTGCCGTTGTATGATCTCTTGTAGAGCTTGTCATCCTCAATGACATAGCTTGGAGCCCTGAGCTTGGCTAGTTTGGCCCTCTCCTCGTCTTCGGGTAATGTGCCGGAGGTGATGTAGGTTGCGATGTCGGTGATCCAATCCTCCGGCTGGTGTTGTATGGAGAGTATATATGGGGCTGGCGTGAATGCTTGACATGCTCAACTCCTCCACCTTCGCTATCTTGGAGATGTGCTCAGGGGTGTCGGAGCCTAGTTTGGAGAGTATGTCGGCCTCGGCGTTCTCCGCCCTTGGGATCTGAGTGATCTCGTAGGTATCGAACGCCTTGAGCAATTCCGCAGCGGCCTCCTTGTATTGCTTCATCCTCCCTTCTTTGGCCTCGTAGGAACCCTCCATCTGGCTCACTACGAGTTTGGAGTCGCATTTGATTCTGACGTGGCGTGCTTTAAGGCCGGCGGCTAGTCTTAGTCCGCTGAGGAGCGCTTCATACTCAGCCTCATTGTTGGATACCTTGAAGTTGAAGCGGATGGCGTAGTACGCTCTGAATCCTTCTGGTGAGATGAGGACGACGCCACCCTCGCATGCCTTGTTGGCCGATGACCCATCCGTGAAGAGGGTCCAGGCTTCATCTGGTTCACGGCCGGTGGTGGTGACGGCCGTTTCCCTCGCTGTGCATTCCGTGACAAAGTCAGCCAAGGCTTGCCCTTTGATAGATGGCCTCGGTTTGATCTCAATCTGGTACTGGCTCAGGAATATTGCCCATTTGATCATCCTTGGAGAGCTGGTCGGGCTCCTCATGAGGGCGCCCAACGGCTGATGCGTGAGGATGTGGACGGGGTGAGCTTGGAAATAGTGGCCCAGCTTCTTCACCGTGTGGACGATGGCCAGGACCGTCTTCTCAATGGGGGAGTACCTGAGCTCGGCCTCCCGCAGCGTCTTGCTGACGTAGAATATTGCCTTCTGTACCCCGTCATCCTCCCTGATGAGTACAGAGCTGACGGCCGACGTGCTTACTCCCAAGTAAAGGAAGAGAGTCTCGCCGGGTTGGGGCTTGGATAGGACGGGTGGGGAGGCGAGATATTGTTTCAGCTCCTCAAAGGCTTGCTGACACTCCGTCGTCCATTTGAAGCTGGTGGCCTTCCTCATTATCTGGAAGAAGGGGAGCGACTTCTCCGCGGATTTTGAGAGGAAACGGTTCAGGGCCGCGAGGCGTCCCGTCAGTCGTTGTACCTCCTTTATGTTGCGGGGTGGCTCCATGTTGATAATGGCTTGTATTTTCTCCGGGTTCACCTCGATGCCCCTTCGACTGACCAGGTACCCCAGGAATTTACCTCCCTGGACGCCGAAGGTGCACTTCTTTGGGTTGAGCCGGAGGTTGTATCTCTTCATGATCTCGAAGATGCCCCGGAGGTCGTCGGCATGGGTTGTGGATTGTTTGCTCTTGACGATCATATCGTCGACGTATGCTTCCATCGTCTGACCTAAGACTGCTCTAAAAATCCGGGCTACCATCCTTGTGTAGGTGGCGCCGGAGTTCTTGAGCCCAAAGGCCATGACGAGGTAGCAAAAAATTCCCTCCGGGGTCATGAAAGCAGTCTTCTCCGCGTCATCTTCATGCATGGATATCTGGTGGTACCCTCTGAACGCGTCGAGGAACGACATCAACTCGCACCCCGCCGTCTCATCCACCAACTGATCAATGTTGGGGAGAGGGAATGGGTCCATTGGGCACGCCTTGTTCAGGTCAGTGTAATCAACACACATTCTGAACGTGGGCGGTTTTGGTGCGAGGACGACGTTCGCCAACCACGTGGGGTACTTCACCTCTTTTATGTGCTTGATGGAGAGCAGCATGGCCACTTCGGCTTTGACGAATTCCCTCCTGTCAGCTGAGAGGTAGCGTTTTTTCTGTTTGATGGGGGAGGAGGCCGGGTTCACCGATAGCCGATGTGTGATTACCTTTGGGCTGATGCCCGGCATGTCCTCTGGTCCCCATGCGAAGACGACGGCGTACGCTCTCAGGACAGAGAGGATGTCCCTTCGAATCTGTTGGGGGAGCTGTGTCCCAATCTTCAGTGTGCGTTCCGGCCGGGAGACGTCCAACGGAACATCTTCCACGTCTCCGACCGGTTCGGCCTTTGGTGTGTCTTCTTCGGCCAAGGCGGTGGTGATGGTGTCTATCCGCTCCTCGGCTTCATTGATTTTCCTTGTGAGCTTCAGGTAACAAGCCCTGGCTATCTTCTGGTTCCCTCTGGCATAGCCGACGCCGTCCTTGGTGGGGAACTTGAGGCATAGATGTCTCATGGAGATGATGGCCTCAAGGTCCTCCAAGGCCGGTCGTCCCCAGATCATGTTGTGGGCGCTGTCCAGGTTGACAACCACGAACTCCATGTCAATCTTCGCCTGACAGGTACCGTCACCGACCACAACGGGAAGCACTATCGTGCCCTCGGCGTCGATAGAGTCCCCGGTGAAGCCGGATAACGGAGTCCGTATCGGCCGGAGCTCGGTTTTCTTCAGCTTCAGCTGTCTGAA